GTCGAGAGGATCGTTGGCACCTAAAACCGTTCGGGATCGTTGGAAGTGACCAGTGGTTGTCGGGAGGATTGTTGGTACCAGAAACGGTTGGGGATCGTTGGAAATGACCAAAGTGGGTCGGGAGGATCGTTGGCACCGAAAATCGTTGGGGATCGTTGGCAATGACCATAGGTGGTCGAGAAGATCGTTGGCACCTAAAACCGTTCGGGATCCTTGGAAGTTACCATTGGTTGTCGGGAGGATTGTTGGCACCGAAAAATGTGGGGGATCGTTGGAAATGACCAAAGGTGGTTGGGAGCATCGTTGGCACCGAAAATCGTTTGGCGATCGTTGGGAATGACCATAGGTGGTCGGGAGGATCGTTGGAACCGAAAATCGTTTGGGGATCGTTAGAAATGTGAAACTTTGGTCAGGAGGATCGTTAGTATCGAATATTGTTCATGATCGTTAAAATTGGCGATCTTTGGTCGGGAGATTTCTTGGCATCGACAATCCAAGGGGATCGTTCGAAATGGCTATCGTTGGTCCGGACCGTCGTTGGCACCGAGAATGGTTGAGAATCGTTGGAAATGACTATCGATAGTCTGGAGGATCGTGGCACCAAACATCGTTGAGGATCGATAGAGATTACTATCTTTGGTCCTGAAGATCGTTGGCACCGAATACCGTTGAAGATTGTATGAGATGACTATCGGTCCGTAGGATCGTTGGCACCGAATACCATGGAAGATCGTTGGAAATGACTATCATTGGTCAAGAGGATCGTTGGTACCGACAATCGTTGGGAATCGTAAAAAATGACCAAAGGTAGTCGGGAGGATCGTTGGCACCGACAATCGTTTGGGGATCGTTGGGAATGACCATAGGTGGTCGGGAGGATCGTTGGCACCGACAATCGTTGGGAATCGTTGGGAATGACCATAGAAGGTCGGGAGTATCGTTGGCACCGAGAATTGTAGGGGATATTTGGAAATGACCAAAGTGGGTCGAGAAGGTCGTTGGCACCGAGAATCGTTGGGGATCGTTGGCAATGACCATAGGTTGTCGATTGGATCGTTGGCGCCGAAAACCGTTCGGGATCGTTGGAAGTGACCATTGGGTGTCGGGAGGATCGTTGGCTCCGACAACCGTTGGGGATCGTTGAAAATGACCAAAGGTCGTCGGGAGGGTCGTTGGCACCGACAACCCTTGGGGATCGTTGTGAAGACCATAGGTGGTCGGGAGGGTCGTTGGCACTGACAATCGTTGGGAATCGTTGGGAATGACCATAGGAGGTCGGGAGTATCGTTGGCACCGAGAATCGTTTGGAGATCGTTGGAAATGACCAAAGTGGGTACGGAGGATCGTTGGCACCGAGCATCATTGAGGATCGTCGTCATTGACTTGGTCCGGATTCTCGTTGGCAACGATAATCGTTGGAACTATTATTTGTCCGAAGGATGGTTGGCATCAAACATGGTTTAGGATGGTTGGAAATGACTATATTTGGTCGGGAGGGTCGTTGGCACCGAACACCGTTGAAGATCGTTGGAAATGGCTGCCTTTGGTTCGGAGGATCGTTGGCATCGATTAACGTTGAGGATCGTTCAAAATGACTATCGTTGGTCGGGAGGATTGTCGGCACCGAGAATCGTTAATGATCGTTGAGAATGACTATTTTTTGTCCGTAGGATCGTGGGCATCGAAAATCGATGAGAATCGTTAGAGATGACTATCTATGGTCCGGAGGATTGTTGCCACCAAAATTTCAAGAGGATCGTTGGAACTTACTATCGTTGGTCCTGAGGATCCATGACACCGAATCTCGTTGAGCATCGTTGAAAATGTCATCGTTTGTCGGGAGAATCGTTGGCACTGAAAATCGTGCAGGTTCGTTCAGAACGACTATCGTTGGTCGGAAGGATCGTCGGCACCGAGGATCGTTGGAATCGACTATCGTTAGGCTAGAGGATCGCTGGTACCGAACATCGTTGATGGTCGTTAGAAATGACTATCTTTGGCCCGAAGGATTGTTGGTACCGAGAGTCGTTGAGGATCGTTAGAAATGACTATCGTTGGTCCGGAGGATGGTTGGCATCGAACATCGTTGAGGATCGTTGAAAATGACAACCTTCGGTCCCGAGGACCGTTGGCACCGCACATCGTTGAGAATCGTTGGAAATGACGATCTTTGGTCGGGAGGATCGTTGGTACCGAACATCGTTGAGGATCGTCAGAAACGACTATCGTTGGTCGGGAGGGTCGTTGCTACCGAACATCGTGGAGGATCATTGGAAATGGCTATGTTTGGTTCGGAGGATCGTTGGCACCGAACATCGTTGAGGATCGTTGAAATTGACTATCGTTGGTCGGGAGGATCGTTGGCACCGAACATCGTTCAGGTTCGTTGGAAATGACTAGTTTTTGTCCGAAAGATCGTGGGGACCGAACAACGTTGAGGATTGTTGGAATTGACTATCGTTGGGTCGGGAGAATCCTTGGCACCGACGTCCGTTGAGGATTGTCGGAAATGACCATCGTTGGTCGGCAGGATCGTTGGCACCGAGGATCGTTGGAAATGACTCTCGGAGGATCGTTGGCACCGAAAATCGTTGGCGATCGTTAGAATTGTACATTTTGGTCGGGAGGATCGTTGACACCGAAAATCGTTGAGGATCGTTGGAAATGACTATCTCTGGTCTGGAGGATCGTTGGCACCGAGGATCGTTGAGGATCGTTGGAAATGACTATCGTTAGTCCGGAGGATTGTTAGGTACCGACAATTGCTGAGGATCGTTGGAGATGACTATCGTTGGTCGGGAGGATCGTTGCCACCGAAAATCGTTGAGGATCGTTGGGAATGACCATGTTTGGTTCGGAGGATCGTTCGCACCGAAAATGGTTGAGGATCGTTCGAAATGGCCGTCGTTGGTCCGGAGGAACTTTGGCACCGAAAATCGTTGATGATCTTTGGAATTGACTTTTTTTTCCCGGAGGATCTTGGGCACCGAAAATCATTTGAGAATCGTTGGAAACGACTATCGTTGGCACAGAGAATCGTTGAGGATTGTCGGAAATGCCTATCGTTGGTCGGAAGGATCGTTGGCACCGAGGATCGTTGGAAATGCATTTCGCTGGTCCGGAGGATCGTTGGCACCGAAAATCGGTGAGGACCGTTGGAAATTAATATCTTTGGTCGGGAGGATCGTTGGTACCGAAAATCTTTGAGTATCGTGGGAAGTGACTATGTTTGGTTCGGAGGATCGTTGGCACCGAAAATCGTTCAGGATCCTTGAAAATGACTATCGTTGGTCGGGAGGATCATTGGCACCGAAAGTCATTTAGGTTCGTTGTAAATGACTATCGTTCGTCGGAAGGAGGATCGTTGGAAATGACTATCGTTGGTCCGGAGGATGGTTGGCACCGAACATCGTTGAGGATCGTTGGAAATGACCATCTTTGATCTGGAGGATCGTTGGCACGTAAAATCGTTGAGCATCGTTGAACATAACCATCGTTGGTCCGGAGGATCGTTGGCACCGGGGATCGCTGAGCATCATTTGTGATGCCCATCGTTGGTGCGAACGATCGTTGGCACCGAGAATCGTTGAGATTTTGTTGAAAACGATCATCGTTGGACCGGAGGATTGTCCGCCGCGAGGATCGCCATGGGGTATCCTGTGCTATCCCGCGTATTGTCCTCTTGGCAAGCTTGATTTCCAGGAAACATGGCTTTCACGAGTACACCGCGTTTGGGTCATCTAGCAGTAGCTTTTAACCACGGTAAGTATGATTTTGCATCAAGGACCTCGGATTCAAGATGTCACCAGGTTGAGGTCGCGATCGTTGCTTTTCGAGAACAAAAATACAACATTATCGAGGACGACAAGACAACGAAAACAGCAGCAACACAACAACAACAAGACCAACAACAACAACAACAATAACAACAATAACAACAACAAAACAACAACAACAACAACAACAACAACGACGACGACGACGACGACGACGGCGAAAGCAATGACAACGACACGACAGCAACCCGTGCTATGAGAACAAGAACGTACGATTTGTCACGAAAGCTCACTTGCGGGTACAGGTTCCAAAAGAGAATATCGTTGACATTCGACCCACTTTTGTTTTCATTGAAGTGATGGTCGCTTTGACCTGAAATCCAAAACCCAGGTCTGAACAAGAATGAAACGACTATTTTCACATGTGAGTACTCCGTTTGCGCATTGTGAGCGACTTTGAAGCGGAGGATAGCTTGCGGACCAAGACGGGGATCAGGTATCCCATATAGCTCATATTTTTGACAAGCATTGTCGCTACTGTTCACCATAGGCCCAGCCCGTGGAGCCACCGAAGAAATGGGCTCATCAAATTGCCGGGAGCGGACTTCGTTGTCCGCAATTGGCTGATTATCTGTGTTTCATCTATTCCTCCTCTCCTCATCGATGCCTCATTTCCCTTCTTGACCCCTCCCACGCCGATCCCATGCACTTCTCTAAGCAGTCCTACGGGCTTTTCACCATCTTAGGTGTGTTTCACATCCTGTAAGGATAGTAATCAACGATCACCATGAGACCCCCAGTAGATTCCTCAACATAATTAGGTGGCTAGGTTCTCGCAGGCGTTGTCCATCCCTCGGGAACTGGCCCTTCGTCCATGATAACCTCCCTAGAAGGAAAAATCAGAAGTACCGAGGGCTTCAAGTTCAGGTCATGGAGCGCGAAGCTGTTCGTGGAGAGGACGGAAACATTTCCCTCAGCTTGGTGGGGTGGTGAAAAGTGAGGAACAACAAGAACACCGTCGACTGTGAAGGGGGGTGTGGGGGGTTGAAGTGCCATCGTTCGACGTCGATCGTTTCGGAACCATCGTAGTCTCTATCTCCCCTGGTGCAGTGCTCCCAACAAGTGCAATAGCGCCATCCCGGGTGTTCAAAGGGCATTCCGCAGGAGAACATGGCCAACGGTACCTCCAAGAGTAGTCTACTGTTCAACGTAATGCATAAAAACAACTCCTTTCAAAGTTTTTCGCGCAATAAAACACGGACAAAGGAGAGGCTGAGCCAACGGCGTACGGCAAGAAGTCGGACACACCTGTGGCAAGACCAGACCATTCTGATAGCCTCGATGGTGCCGATGCCTGCAGCGCGGGGATCTCCCGCCGGGCCGAACCAATGGTTTTGCGGTGCCCCCGTAGTCCTGATGAAACATTCGAGGTTGCAGGCAAAACAAATAGTGAACAGAAATTTGCATCCAAGCGGACGAAGTTGCTCAGAGATGCGTCGGTACAGATTTTCGCCATGCAGCGAATGTTTCTTGGTCGGAAATCTCGCATAAAATCTGAGCCTCAGCATCATGTTGTTGAACCATTTCTCAAGAACACATGTATATTTGGAGCTGCTGAGTAGACAAGTGCCTCAGGTGGCTCCCATCGATCAAGGTTAACATCTTGTGTTTCCAGCTTCATTCGGTTTCCTTCGCACCTCGATATTAGGCGACCCAAACCGAAGGGAAAATAACTTCGTGGATCGCTTGCTCAGGGTCAGCCAACTTGTCGATATCAGTTAATATCTTGTCTTTCCAGTTTCTTGTGCACGGAACAAACAAGCGGAGAAGGTACACAGAAACGACCTCGATCCCTTCCTCCCTGGAAACCAACAGTGTTCAAGAAGCCGTGAGACGGAAAGGCCGCAAACAAGGCGTCCCAAAACGATTCAATGCTGTACAATACTGGCCAGCTCAACACTCCCACAGTAAAATTCAGCCTAAATCTGAGTTTTCCGTCATATTTTAGAGCTAATCCTGTGCGTGACACCCCTGCCGCTGGCACCCTGCAGAAAACCCAACTTTATGTTTTATATAGTTCAGGTTCAGGAGGTGGTACCGCCGTACTCTTTGCTGTTGGGATGGTGAAGGAATTCTCACACAATCGCTACTAACGTTTTTCGTTCCCAGCATTGATGTTCTCTATGAGAATCAGGTGCTGTTGCGCGCATTGTACACCATCGTTGGTGTCATGGTTATACGTTTCATGCCTGAATTGTCGCCACGCGCAAGAATAATTGCTTGTGTGCTTGAACTCTCCTTGGGCGGCAACAACAACGTCTCTCCCTCAGCATGTAGGTAGAATGAGGTTTCGATCGAAGCTGCTCCACATTGACGAAGACCAACCAGCACATGCGGACAACATGCTTCACCAAGGGACAAGCAACACCCATCCCCCGAATAGGTCTGAACGCACATGACAAGTCGCAACAAGTGCCCACGCAACCCCAAGCCGGGCAGATGGTGCACTGACGGATGCCAACACGAAACTCCAGCCGCAGGACGGGCACGGAGATTTTGCTGGCTTGCTGTTGTTCTTTTTTCCTCCGGCGACTCCGGTCTTACCAGCACGGGTCCCTCTGATACCGCTCCCAATGCACACTGATTGTTTTCCTAATGCTGGCACGCTTCCTACTGTCCTTCTGCCGTAACATAGTTGTACTGTATCCCATTGGAGACATAGCAGGCGCGACCCTCGCTCACCTCGCCCTGATCCCGCAGTAGGTTGTGCCATTGACGGTGGCCTCGAGCACCCTCCTCTGAAAGGACACGTCGTTCGACACCACCGCGGCCGTCAGGTGGTTGTTCATGCGCTCGCACGCTTCAAGGACGGCGTCGAGCTCGTTGTCGTCGTACTCGGTGACCACCTGGCATGGGATGCATCGCGAGCAGTTTTCAGGAAGGAGGCCGGAAAGTGCGGTGGGGTTGAACATGGTATGACGTGGCGGCTTATCACGCTCGTTTTGGGGAAACTCAATGCACTTGTTTCGAGTCGGGATTTGGCTTAGGTCCTCTGAGGAAAGCCTTGATGCGAGTGACGTTGACGCCTCCTGATATCAGTCAACAATAACAACGACCCGACGACTGCTGTACCTCCGTTCTTCGCCACAGTAGCTCCTGCTGCCACTTCCACCGACACAACACACAGTTAATTGGGCCAGCACAATCAGGGTCCCTTGTGTCGACCCCCTTCCTACGCCCCTCCCGACGTCCCGGTGCCAAAACAAACCAAAGCCGGAATCGCCTGAGAAGGGCTGAACACCTACTCTGAGACAACAAGCCGAATGTCTCGCTGGTCGAGAGGTAGATACGCGCTGTGAACGATCTCCAGGAGGCTTGACACATCTCCTCGCCTCTAACATCACGTCACACAATCCTGGTTGGTTCAGGGTCATCCCTCCCTCCCTCTCTCCCTCTGTGCCCCCCCCCCTCCCTATCTTCGTTACGAGAGGGATGGTACTCGAAGGTGGAACAGAATCCGACCACAGAGACCCTTCTACAGCCTTCCTCCAGTTATCCTTACTATTCTCTAACTGAAGAACGACTGACCCGCCCCTCTTGCCTGGAATGGTCCGAATATCTCGGTGGTGCAGAGCGCGAAGTTCTCCGGCGACTTGAGCATCTCCTTGAGCGGCACAAACACCGCGGTGGGCTCCCACGCGCCGTACTGGGCAGGAATTTTCTTGGCTTTTTCCGACGAAAGCGGCTTCCCCCCGAACAAAACCTTCGCGCCACTGTTTCCAAGGCAACTTTCAATTTGGTCCATAATCTCGCACTTGGTGTTTTAATCGCTTCCATAGCACCCGCAAACGAACAACCCAGCGCTATTAGTGAAATACGTACACGCAACATGTGCTTTTTTTGTTGTCCGATGTATTGTGTCGTACCTTAGCTTGAGCAGGCTGTCGATGTGCTTCATGCATGTCTCGGTTGTCACGGACAACACGGGCCCCACCTGAAAAATCGGACAACCACATACGGTAGTTCCATTCAACGTTGCCCCGGTACAAGATATAAACAGGTCGACTACAGCAGACCTGGATCTACTCGGTAGTGGTACCCCAGTCAAGGAATTGTACTCCAGTAGCCTCTGTATTGCTACTGACACTGACACTCTCCATCGGTTGGCCGACGCTGGTGGTCGGAGCTAGGCAAAGAAACAGACGTACACACACAGAGACTGTGTACGCTATTCGTCATTGGATCTCTGCCGAGGGACGATCGTCTCCGGCTTTCCGATAGTACCAGATATGTGTGGGTCTTGCATCAAAGAGGGCGTCGGCATACGATTGCCGGAAAGTGCAATTCGTCAAGAGGCCAATCAGGAAGGCGGATCCGGTCGCACCGTTAGGTCTTCGAGGGTTCGCCGGGAGGCCAGACTCTTGAGAGTTTCAACGATGCCAGACTTGCTCCAGTTCTCGTGGACGAACAGAATGCTCTGGGCCGAGCACTTCTGCCCACTGGGAACGACGAAACAAGAATACGGAAACGCACCGACTGAAGCGTGCACATCCGCCAGACCGACGAAGAACACAATAAATTGTTGACATTGTTGATGGTTTTTAGTTTTGTTCGTCGGGTGGATACTGTCTGCGTTCGCCAGGATCAGACAGACTCGACTGTGCTACATGTTGCATTTTTAGGTACCTGTAAGCGTAGGCGTCCTGGTCGCAGGTGTGCGCCACGTACTCCTCCTCCTGGACGTCGGGGCCCAGGATTTTCCAGTCAAACCCAGCGTCCTCCACCTTTACCTACACGACAAAAACCAAGCAGCGACGTGAAGTGAAGACGACAACATTTATTTCACTTTGGTTAGGGTAACAAAAGGCACATGGTACACAAGGGGTAGCCCGTCAAAACTGGCACCACCAACCTCCCCCTGTTGAGACAGATCCCCTAGAACAAGCATATGCTTTCACAACAACAAAAAAAATAAAGCTACAACATTTGCCAAGGGCCAAACGACCGAGTATGTTGAACGCCGGAACATATTTAGTGGTGTGGTGCGAGACATCTGCATTCTTTCGTTTTGCAAGATTGACTCGAGAAACTGCTTGTCTGCGTTATTGCTGCTGCTACCATCGATATCGTCATCGCTCACAAAACTGTGAACTCTACTCACTACGGTTATTTTCCGCCTGACGGTGGGGTGGAGATGAAAATGCCAACGTCACATCCTAGCCGAATGCCCTTGCACAATCAGGACGGCTCTTGCCTTTCCATCAAGAGCTTCGGCTAGAACCTCGGCCACTTTGGAACTCCCGGTAAACTGAGTCACGCGAGGCTGAGCTGAGGTAAGAACCCTGCCAGCGAGGGAAAGAGTAGCAAACGAGGGTTGTCGGAAGCGGGGGGAAATTTTCTTGGTTGGTCGCGGTCTCGTGCCCTTCTCATGGCCTGTTGATAGGATTGGGCATCAATCAAAAATATAAAAAAACACACGATGACAGGAAGTTGTGCCCAATCAGACCTCAACACGAACATCGGCAAAGGACACGACGGCAAAGGACAAACGAACAGTGAACAACCGATCACATGTCCTTGTGCATTGATCTGCTTTAGCGCCTGCGCGTTTTGCCAGGCATGAGCATTTTCCGATAAAGACCATGTACATTTGATCTTCGGCCGGAACGGTATGCATTGTTATTTGAGTATCCGTCTTACTATGAACCCTGATTTGTCGTCCTCCGTGAAAGCGGTAATCGCGTTGGCATCAACATTAACGTGAGTGATTGCGCCCCCGGGAGTGTAATCCATAGGCCTACTCGTTCTCGTCCTCCTACACGTCCTGGTTTGAACGTCGTATTTCACTGTGTACGGTGAGGAACACAGCATCGACCGCGCTCGCCAGCTGGCCATGTGCAAGACGCCAGTCTCCGCGGGAAAGTGGACGAAAAGTGGGCGAATTTCTCGTCAATATGTCTCACCCATGCATGACGGGGCCATCGCAGTTGATGAAGTCGACATCCTCGACGGGCACTCCGCAGTGGTGGAACAGCCGGAGGGTTTGCTCCATCACCACGGAAACCTGACCGTTGGAAATGATGGATGGATCGATGTTAACGATTGTCGAAAATGAGACAATGAAAGCCGCCAGATGCAGCCTTTGTCGACATTCCCAGCAGCTCTCAACCCATAACATCTACCGCGATCTGAGAGTGACGAACCCATTGCTGCTCACAGAGTCGTCTTCATTACCGTTAACATTGACTAGGGGTATGTAGCAGCAGGATCTTTTCCGGGAGGGGTGCACCACCTTCGAGTCCGTCTTGAAGATGACCTTGTTTCCCATGTAAAGCGCACCCATGAGCTGCAGCACGGGGATTTCTGAGGCAGGCAGGGGTGCAGGCAGGGGTTTAGGGGATCGTCGTTGGCGTCGGCGTCGACAGGGTAGGAGAAACTTGCGGGGGGGGCAGGAAAAAATGGAGGAAGAATAACGTCACCCCCGCACACAAATGTTCTGGAAGCGACCATCGCCAAGACACACTCGAATCGGTGGGGTAAATTCGACGCTAAGCAGTACCCGCCCGTCTCCCACGAAAACGCACTCCGACCGCTGCAGATACAAATCCGCCCCCAACTAAACGTGTGAAGGGAAAAAGGGGGCCACGTGAATGGCTGGTCGACCCGCCGGGGTTGGTGCGGACATGTCACACCCCTAGCTACCTCGCAAAGCCATACATCTCTGATTCAAACCCAACAACGTTTGAGCACCCATGGACGGAAAGGGACCCAACAACGAAGTTCGGCCCAGCTGTGCCCGCATGTGTAAGCTACCACCCCCCACCCTCGTGTGCACGCGCGGCCCAATACAGCCCATGCGCAGGAAAATGACTCGTCTGATACTACTACTGTCGACACCGTGAACTAGGTTAAGTACGTCTATGCATAGATACGCCATTACTACGTTATCCACAAGTCCGGCCACCAAAACCTGGTACACAGATGTACCCTCTTTACTTGGTTGCTCACCGAGTGGAAAATTGAAGGGACTGACTATGGCGACGGGGCCGAACGGCCAGCGGTAACCGGTAGATGTCTGCCCAACATGGTCGCCGGGGACGCTGAATGACCTCGCCAGCATGCGCACGTTGTCGCCTGGAGATGGTCGTCGACAACACGTTCGTGTCAGGGGTCGATGGCCGGTGGTTTTCTTAAACGTTCCGTCCAATTCCAATGATTCCGCGGTAAGGAGAGAAAATGAGGTCGTCGTCGTTCGGCACTATTCCGCTCATGGCGGAAATGTGGCAGGCTTCACGGCCGACCCGCAATACACAGAACACAACGAACGGAACGCACACCAAGACCTCGATCAAGCCAACGAGCAGTCCCTCACCAGTGCAGCAAGGAAGTTGTGATACCTGTGGCGCTTTTTCGCGCATCCAACCACTCTTCCTGAAACCTAGAGACGTCACGTAATTTATCCCCCTCCCCCCCCCCCCCCCCCCCCCCCCCCCCCCCCCCCACCCCCC